CTAACTTCACCTCTAAGGACACACAGAGTGAAAATGAAGGGATGGAAAAGGATACTCCCCGTAAATGAAAACCAAAAGAGCAGGATTAGCTACACTCCTATAAGACAAAATAGAATTTACATTGAAAAACTGTAAACATTGGCCGGGTGCGGTGGCTCAAGACTATAATCCCAGCGCTTTGGGAGGCCGAGATGGGCGGATCACGAGGTCAGGAGATCGAGACCATCCTGGCTAACACGGTGAAACGCCGTCTCTACTAAAAATACAAAAAACTAGCCGGGCGAGGTGGCGGGCGCCTGTAGTCCCAGCTACTAGGGAGGCTGAGGCAGGAGAATGGCGTAAACCCGGGAGGCGGAGCTTGCAGTGAGCTGAGATTCGGCCACTGCACTCCACCCTGGGCGACAGAGCAAGTCTCTGTCTCAAACATAAAAAGAAAAAAAAAAAAAAAAAAGAAAAACTGTAAACTTTATACCTGAAACTGCAAAACTATTAGAAAAAAACACAGGGGATAAACTACAGGACATTGGTCTGGGCAGTAATTTTTGGATTTGCCTCCAAAAGTTCAGCCAACAAAAATGAAAACAGAACAGTGAGGTTACATAAAATTAAAAAGCTTCTGCACAGCAAAGGAAACATTTAACAGAATGAAGAGGCAATCTGTGGAATGGGGCCGGGCGCGGTGGCTCAAGCCTGTAATCCCAGCACTTTGGGAGGCCGAGACGGGCAGATCACGAGGTCAGGAGATCGAGACCATCCTGGCTAACATGGTGAAACCCCGTCTCTACTAAAAATACAAAAAACTAGCCGGGCGAGGTGGCGGCGCCTGTGGTCCCAGCTACTCGGGAGGCTGAGGCAGGAGAATGGCGTGAACCCGGGAGGCGGAGCTTGCAGTGAGCTGAGATCCGGCCACTGCACTCCAGCCTGGGCGACAGAGCGAGACTCCGTCTCAAAAAAAAAAAAAAAAAAAAATCTGTGGAATGGGAGATAATGTTTTCAAGCCATACATGTAAAACCGGGTTAATATCCAAATACAAGGAACTCAACTCAATAACAAGAAAACAACCTGATTAAAAATGGGCAAAGGATCTGAATAGACACTTCTCATAACAAGATAAGCAAATGGCCAACAGATAAATTTTTAAATGCTCTATATCACTAATCATTAGGAAAATGAAAATTATATCTCGGTTCTCTCAGAATGGTTAGTATCAAAAAGATGATTATTAGTGAAGATATAGAGAAAAGGGAGCCCTGGTATTCCCCAGTTGTTGGGAATGGAAATTAAAACAGCCATTATGGAAAACAGCATAAATGATCCTCAAAAAACTAAAAACAGAGTTACCATATAATCCAGCAATCCTACATTTGTGTATACACCAAAAGGATCTGAAACCAGTATGTTAAAGAGCTATCTGCACTCCCATATTTACTGCAGCATTATTCACAACAGTCAAGGTATAAAACCAACCTAAAGTGTATATAAATGGATGAATAAAAAATAAAGTATATATACACAATAGAATACTATACAGACTTTAGAAAGGGAAATTATGTCATCTGCAACAACATGGATGAACTGGAGGACATTATGCTAAGTGAACAATCCCAGCACAGAAAGACAAATACTATTTTTAACTTATATGTGAAAGTCTAAAAAAAATTAGATTTATAGAACCTAAAAAAGTTGAACACATAGGTGCAGACAGCAGAATGGTGGTTACCAAAGGCTGGAGGTGGGGGAATGGGAAATGTTGGTCAAAGGACACAATGACAAGTATTTGAGGTAATAGAAAATATAAGTAAAAATTAGAAAATCAGGGCCATTGACAAAATACATATGCAACTGATAACAGGATTTCAATATACGTAAAGCAAAAGCTGATAGGACTAACAGAAGTAATGACTAATCCAAAATTACAGTTAGAAAATTAAGTTATTTTATCAGTAATTGGGAATTAAATAATAAACTTGTAAGTAATCAATGGGTCAAAGAAGAAACAAAAAAGAAAATTTAAAAATACCCTGAACTTAATAAAAAAGCAAACACGATTAATAAAAATTTGCGTGATGTAGATAAAGCAATGTTTGGGGGCAACTAACAGAAAAATAGGTCTAAAATCAGTGATCCAAGTTTTTACCTCAAAAACAAAAAACCAACCAAAGCAAATTAAGCCTACAGCAAGGATGGAAATAATAAAACCAAGGACAGAAATCAATGAAATAAGAAACAATAGAGAAAATTAATAAAACCAAAATGAGTATTGAAATTTCACTTCCAATTGTTCTTTGCTAGTATATAAGAATGCAATTAAATTTTATACAGTGATCTGCTATCTTTTGATCTCGCTAAATTCACTAGTTCTAGTATCTTGGTTAAATTTTTTAGTATACAACCATGTCTTTGGAAATAAAGACAATTATTTTTCTTTCTTTGCAATTTTATGCCTCATTTCTTTTTCTGGCTTATTGCAATGGCTAGTTCATCTAGTAAAGTCTAAACAGAAACTGTAAGATTCAGCATCCTTGCCTTGTTACCAATCATAAGGAAAAACATCTTTCACCATTAAACATGACATTAAGTTTAGATATTTACATAGATTTCATTTATCAGGTTTAGGATACAAAAATCATTTTAAAAAACTTGCAGATAGAATCAGAAAACTATTAAAAATGAACCAGAAAAAAATACACCATGATGAAGTAGTTTATCTCAAGAATACAAGTTTGGTTTAGCATTTAAGAATCAATCAAGTGGCCGGGCACAGTGGCTCATGCCTGTAATCCCAGCACTTCGGGAGGCAGAGGTGGGTGGATCAAGAGGTCAGGAAATCGAGACCATCCTGGCTAACACGGTGAAACCCCGTTTCTACTAAAAAATACAAAAAATAAGCCGGGCATGGTGGCGGGTGCCTGTAGTCCCAGCTACTCAGGACGCTGACGCAGGAGAATGGCCCAGGAGGTAGAGCTTGCAGTGAGCTGAGATTGCATTACTGCACTCCAGCCTGGGCGACGCAGCGAGATTCCGTCTCAACATAGATAAATAAATAAATAAATACACAAATAAGAATCAATCAAGTATAATTCAACATATTAAGAAAATAAAGAAGAAAAGCAAATTATCTCAAGAGACACAGATAAAAAGTTTAAGAGCAATCTATAATAGCACCCCAAAACACAAAATACCTAGGAATAAATTTAATAAAATATGTGCAAGATTTATATAATGAGAACTGTAAGACATTAAAGAATAAGTGAAAGATACATAGTTCACTAATAGGAAGACTCAATATTTTTAAGATTTGACCTATAAAATACAATCCCAATCAAAATACCAGTTTGCATTTTCACAGAAACTGACAGTGATTCTAAAAATATCTATGGAAATACAAAGAATCCAGATTCACTAAAACAACTTTTAAAAAGATTAAGAAACTCATAGTACCTAATTTCAAGACTCACTATAAAGATACAGTAATCAAAACAGTGTAGTGTTGGTATAAGTTAGATATAGAGATCACTGGAACCAAACAGGAAGTCCAGAAATAGACCACACATACATAGTCAACTGATTTTCAGTACTAGTGCCAAAATAACTGCAGAACAACTGGAACTCTCATACACCACTACTGGGAATATAAAATGGTACTACTTTGAAAAACAGTTCATAGCTCTTGTGCAGCCTCCAACTCCTGGGCTCTAGGCTATCTTCCCACCTCAGCCTCCCAAGTGGCTAGGACTAGGACATGCATCACCAAACCTGGCTAATTTGCCAAAAAAAAAAAAAAAAAAAAAAAAAATTTTTGTACAGACCGTGTCTCACCATGTTGCCCAGGCTGATCTAAGACTCTGGGGTCAAGTAATCTCCTCTTGCCTTGGCCTCCCAAAGTGCTAGGATTACAGACCTCAGTCACTATGCCTGGCCAGTTTGGCATTTTCTTATAATGTTACACACACAATTGCCATCTAAAATAGTATAAATTCATTCTGAGATATTTCCCAAAAGAACTGAAAACATGTCTACATGAATACTTGTACCCAAATGTTCATAGCAGCTCAATTTATATTAGCAAAGACAAAAAATATCCCAAATATCTACCAATATGTGAATAAACAGACTGTAACATATTCATAGAGTAGACTACTACTCAGCAACAAAAAAGAATGAACTGTTGGCATACACAAAATGGATGAACCTTAATAATATTGTGCTAGGCAAATGAAGCTGTATCAAAGCAGTATTTAAGTATGATCCCCTTCATAAGGACCTCTTAAAAAGGACAAATCTAGTCTATAGTGATAAAAAGGAAATTAGTGGTTGCCCGGTGTTGGTGGTACAGAACTAAATGTTCAAGGACACAAGAGAACATTATAGGATAATGTACATGGAACAGATCTTGATTATAGTGAGGGTAACATGGGTGCATCAATTTGTCCAAACTCATCAAAACATACCCTTGTGTGCATTTTATTGATTATAAATTACATTTAACTAACGGAGACAAAAACACTTCCCACCCTCTTGCCATAAAAAAAGTAACAGCAGTCTTAGAATACAGTTTACCCAATAAAAAAGCTTTCAAAAATATGCCAAGGACAAAATGAAATAAAATTATGATGAAATCAGTATGAATAATGAAGACAGCATTACATAAACCCAGAAGGATGCTTTTGTGATAACAGCAAGTCTAAAAGTGCTTCAAAACTAGAAACAAAAACCTCCCAATTAGTTTTCCTTTTTTGTTTTGCTGGAGTTGGTCGAAAGGAATAACATGGAAAGTAAAATAGAGATATCCAGAATAATCTAAAACAATATTGTAAAGTAGATTTTGTTCTATGAAAGACACATAAGTCTAAATGAGCATAATGGCTTACCTAGGAGATTGGAGTAAATCACCATGGCTCATTTGGGCTAATAATTGCAAAAAAATACAGAAAGTACTCATACAAATCAAAATTATTTTCTCACGAATTGCTTTAGCTTTTATGTAATCACATCCTACCTTATAAGAGAATCACTTCGCTTATCAGTTCTAACAAGGAGGACAACTTTCCATCTGTGGAAGGCTCCTGGAGCACCAGTGCGTTTCAGTTCTTCACGCCACCTTTTAGGTGCAGATTGCATTTGAGGTGAATAACGGGAATCTTTTTCAATTTTATATCCCCATTCATAAGTTGTTTCATCAAGCCATCTGCCACTTTTGGCACTATGAATTATATAGTCCTTGGTTAGTATCCACTTTCCTAGAAAGCAAATGAGCTGTCAGTCACAAACAAATTTTGGTTCTGATAAATGATAAACAACAAAGATCAAATATAAAATAAAAGTCAACCTTTTTCAAGATAAGACTCTTAAGCGACACTGCTAACATTATCTTTGAACTATGCATTTTGGGGAAATTTTTTGATAGTGAGAGGCTTACAATATCACTGAACACTGTATGTAATCTTTTCCATGACAAATAATTGTAATTCTAAATATAATTCCATAGTTATAACTTAGTTATAATTATAGTTTCATTTAAATATAATTCTAAATTACAATTCTATAATTCTAAACATAAATCAAAAGCTTTAAAATCCAAAATAAAATGTGGTATTACTTGAATTATTACTACTATCATTATTCACTATTTTGGGTTAGATTTATATTCTTCCTCCTATGCTAACAGCTTTTCCAATATTGTTCACAGCATTATTACTCTGTAAAACAAATTTATTGAGTTAAAGAATTTTTCAGGTCATTTTATAACTTTTTTTTTTTTTTTTTTAAGAGATGAGATCTCGCTACGTTGCCCAGGCTGGTCTTAAACTCCTGGGCACAAGTGATCCTTTTGCCTTGGCCTCCCAAAGTGCCAGGATTACAGGCATGGGCCTCCGCACCCAACCAACCGTTTCTTTATCTGGGCATCAGCGATCTTTCTGAACACTATGGACAATGTATGTTTTCATTTGTAAAGTTAAAAATGAATGCAAGTGTTTTCCTTGTAAGTTAATCTAAAAAAGGATAAATTCACCCAAGTTACATAGGCTTTTTTTTTTTTTTTGCAATCAGTAGACTAATGATATGTTAGATCAATCACAATACAGAAAGCTATAAAAATAGAGAAAGCTATAAATTACAAAACGATACAGGAGAAGACCAAGTCTTAATTTGGATCTATAGAATTTAATATCTTAGAAAAATAAAATAGTATGACCATTGTTTCATAATATGGATAGGAGAAGCAGCAGAGAGAGAACAAAAGCACTGACTGTATCAAATGACAGATGAAAGAAAACTTGACTGAAAACAGCTGAGACTTTAACAAAAGCTTAAGATTTTGACATTTTGTGCCAGTCTTTTAGTTAATGTATTTTTTTGTCTTAAATAAAACACACTAAATCCTTGTTGAGGTAAATATTTTTGCCTATTTAATACATTTTTCATGTGTTACAGAATTTTACTCAGAATAAGAATAAGCAAAAAAAAAAAAAATTAAATATTTTCAAAAACTATCAGAAAAACACATTGAGGTTTGATATATAAATATGCTATCTCTCCAGAGAATAAAATACTTTTTCTTTAACATGAAGATTGCTTTCAAAAGTTGGGGGAAGACAGTTAACTTACCTGCTGCACAAGCTGCTAAAAATTTTTCACTCTTACATAGGCGTTCAGCTATAAGATGTGTACAATTTTTGTATTTCTGGAGGGAAAAATCCACATCAAAAAATGTTACTAAAGTAAGACTGCCTTTATAACACATTCTTCTTATTGTTACAATATCAAGAAAGCATTTTATCATGGGCCAGCATTTTAATTCTAGTTATTTTTCAAATATACCTTGAACATTTTGCTAAGTTTCTTACCTCACTCTTAATAAAAGTGCAATCTAGTTTTAAAAGTAATTTGACTAGTGCTTCTTTTTCTTCCATCTTAAATCCTGTCATTTGGATGATATGCTTTGGGGCACCATCTTCCATCTAGCAAATACAAACGTACAGAAGATAACATGTTAAAGATATTATTCACAGGGTTGACATCATTATTTTTTCTTAACTATGAGTACTAAAAATAAACTATTAAACATATAATGAATTAAAGACGTTAGGTATAACTCTTAAAACAATGTTAAAATTACTTACATACGATAGAAACTAGTTTTAAAAGTTATCTTCTCAAAATGTGGCCTTAAAAAAGTGAGGGTTTTTTTTTTTCTTTCTGATTTGAACATTGAAAGTCTGGATTAATACATTACTTGACACTAAAACACATTGATGAATAAATATTCTTCCTCAGAAAATGACAGAATGTTATACAAATATTGGCATAATAATGTTATACAAGCTTCATTTAAAAAGTATTGTTGGGACGGGCGCAGTGGCTCACACCTATAATCCCAGCACTTTCGGAGACCAAGGCAGGCGGATCACGAGGTCAGGAATTCTAGACCAGCCTGGCCAACATGATGAAACCTCACCTCTACTAAAAATATAAAAATTAGCCAGGTGTGGTGGCAGGTACCTTTAATCCCTGCTACTCAGGAGGCTGAGGCAGGAGAATCGATTGAACCTGGGACACAGTGGTTGCAATGAGATGAGATCACACAACTGCACTCCAGCCTGGGCGACACAGTGAGACTCCATCTCAAAAATAAACAAACAAACAAACAAAGTATTGTTGGCCGGGAGCAGTGGCTCATGCCTATAATCCTAGCACTTTCTTTGGGAGGCCAAGGCGGGCAGATCACCTGAGGTCGGGAGTTTGAAACTAGCCTGGCCAACATGGTGAAACCCCATCTCCATTAAAAATACAAAATTAGCCTAGCATGGTGGCACATGCCTGTAATCCCAGCTACTCGGGAGGGTGAGGTGGGAGAATTTCTAGAACCCAGGAGGCAGAGGTAGTGGTGAGCTGAGATCGCACCATTGCACTACACAGCCTGGGCAACAAGAGCGAAACTCCATCACAAAAAAAAAAAACAAAAAACTACTGTTGTTGGCTAAGAGCTTTTGAAACTTACAGACAATGAAACAATCAGATTTTATACTCCACAAAGACTTTAAAGCCTCTGTGGACAGATATTAAATATGTACACGTTACCGGAGAAGCGAATAGAACTCATGGTCTCACAGCATTTATATTCAAAAATTTAGTAAAGTGTGTACACATAATAATCCTGGATCCTATTTGCAATCTATATTTCTTAACTTTGATATATATATGTTAATTTCATCATTTACAAGGTAAACTGAAAAATCACTTTTTTAAAAATCTGTTTATTTTCATAGGGACCCTGAATCCATATTTTAATGTAGTTCACAAAAAGTACTTTGTGTTTAGGGAGTACATAACTCATAGAATTTCTCATCAGAATACAATTTTATTTGTTTACATGAGGTTGAACTGGAGATCTAGATAGCGTCTTAGAGAAAAATCTCAATCTTTTCACAGACAAGGAAAGCAGGGACTAGAGAAATCAGGGCAATTTTTCATTTCCCTAACAATTTGGTCATCATAGCTTTGGATTATTAATATTTAACTAATGTCATAGCTAGAATAACAACAGTAGCTATTTTCAACAACCAAAGAAACATGACTTCTTTCAATACAATTACAAGTAAACTTCAAAAACTGTAACGATTTGAGCCCATAACTAATAGCACACGACTGGTGAAGTGAGGAACATTCTTCACAAGAGTCTGCTTTTAAAGACATATAAATACAATATATATAAAGGCTGAGGTTCATTTAAGAGTAAAAATTCAAAGAAAGTCTCAATATAAGCAATTGAAAGCATTACTCAGAAGTGAACTTTTATTTCCTTGCTTAGAGTTTTGAAGAGGAGGAAATTCAGCTAGGGTAACTGCACTTAGTTTTTCTCTACCCTTCATCACTCCCCATTTCGTTGGAGAAGCTCCTTGAGACAACTAAATGGATATGCTTTGCTCAGCCTATCTGCATATTTGCAAAGAAGGTCCATATCGATGCTTTCTGACACATCCTAAGGAGCTGCCAGTAGTAGTCGTGCACTGCCTGTGTGGGTAAGTCAATTCAGAGGCTATGTACTAAGAAGCACACTATGGTTCCGTATCAAAACCACTGTCTTCTGGCAGAAGGATGAGTGAAAAACAAAACAAAACAAAAACCATCATCTTCAAAACAATGTTTACTCAATAAAAAAGCTGATATTTCAACCTCAATTTATCTGATTTTTGCATTTCTCAACTGGCTGCAAAAGGGGCAAAGAGGTACAATGTACTGTAACCCTCTAAAACTCAGATACAGAACATAAGAAAGTGCCTTAAAGATAAGGCTCTCCAATGAAATAAATGTTTTTATTAAAAAGTTACAGGGATTTGGTATAGTCAGTGTAAAATTTTTAAGTGCACATACTAGGGATTGGTCTCTTATGAAAAATTAATCATATACATGAAACAGTTTCATCAGTAAATAAATTAAGCTTCTTGTATAAGGAACCCCTTACTGTATTAATCATCCAATTTTTTTTTTTTTTTTTTTTTTTTTTTTTTTTGAGATGGAGTCTCGCTCCGTCGCCCAGGCTGGAGTGCAATGGCACAATCTCGGCTCAGTGCAAGTTCTCCTCCCCAGTTCACGCCATTCTCCTGCCTCAGCCTTCCGAGTAGCTGGGACTACAGGCGTCCACCACCACGCCTGGCTTTTTTTTTTTCTTTTTTTTTTTTTTTTGGAGACAGAGTCTCACTCTGTCGCCCAGGCTAGAGTGCAGTGGCGCTGTCTCGGCTCACTGCAACCTCTGCCTCCTGGGTTCAAGCAGTTCTCTGCCTCAGTCTCCCAAGTAGCTGGGATTACAGGCACATATGCTTTTCCTACTACTTGTATATTTTTAATGTATTTTAGAGTTTCAAGGACTATTTAATGGCTATTTCAGGAATATTGCCAAAGAAGTTTGAGTGGTTTTAAAAAATCTAAAATCTTGCCTGATTATTCTAAAAATTGACATATAAAAACTAATGTTAAGTAATCGGAATATACAAAAAATTGTAAAAAAATTGTTATAACACTGTTACCCAAATGAGTTTTATTTAAAGCTTGTCCTTTAAATTTTATTATTCTGCTTTCTCAGAATTAAGTTATACAGAAATAAAGGAAACATATCCTACACTGCTGTTTCCAGATCACGTTAACAGCTATTTTACAATTTGAATATTATTAACAACGTAACATTATAATGTATTCTGGTTTCATGTATAAATTATTAAATTATTTGGATTTACTGGAGTTAGTGTGTAAAGCAAAGTTTTCATCTTAAACCATATGGTCTCTATAATAAAATAAATATGATGGAAATAACCCACTTTGTATATTTAACAGCATTTTCTCTCAAAACAAGAGCCCATAGTAAAATGAAAATAGGACTAACTGCGTAATAGCAGAAATCAGGAAACCCCTTTAAAGCAATTTATTTTCTTTGAAAATGATTAAAAATGAAACTGAAATTAAACATGCAGAGGAAAGGGAAGTAGGAAACAAAGGTGAAAAAATAGAATTTCCTGATTCAAACATTATCCGTAAACTATGCATATGTTTAAAAACAAATCAGAATACAGGATATTCTAGTCACAAGTTTATCAAAAAAAACTGAGCTATTAGCTAAACTTTAACAGAATCAGGAATCCCAGTGATGGCCCAAAATAACTAGCACAGTTTTATAACAGTTTTCTACAATAAAATTATCTACTTGAAACAAGAGAGTTTATAATACATTTAGTAATGCTTTTTTACAGCACATGATATGACAAGTGAATGACCTGGATTATAGGATCTAATTCATGCAGTTACCCAGGAAAACTGTATATGTACGAATAAATATAAACATGTATAGATATATTGATTGATTGATTTATAAAATTCATGGTTTGATGGTTCTTTCTGACCCTGCAGGATTAAGAATACAATAAACCTGATAAGTCAATGAAGCCAAAAAGAGCACTATAATTGATTTAATTCAAACCCAGACAATTAAAAATCCTTTAAAGTACAGTCAAGTTTAGTGCAAGTGATATGTCTGGGGTAGGGAGGACCAAGAGCTAACTTCTAGAAGTCTTCCAGCACAAGAAGGAAAGTCAATATACCATAATTGTACCAGTGGTTATTTCTAGAAAAATTATACATCTTTATAGAACTAATGGGGGGTGTCCCTTGGAGCATTTATACAGAAGATACTGTCCTAACACCAAAAAATGGAGGGGAAAAAAAAGCAAAAAAGACAGCATGACTTTTGACAATTGAAAGTTTTATCTTTACTGTCAAAAAAGTTAAAATTATATGACATTCTTAGTTACAAGAAAATGTCCTTCTGTAGTAATAATTAACATCTTATAGTAATTAACAAAAATTAGTTACTTACCTTGAACAATAAAATACAACAAAGGAGACAATGACTGTAAATAGTGTTGGCCTTTACGCAGAGCAAGCAACTGTCTCTGTGGTATGGACTTTCCCAAAATATCTCCCACATGGGCCTATTCTTGATGCCTGAAATTCCTTTGTAGTTGATGCCAGTCCAAAATGCAAAGAACACCTATAGAACTCTTCATCTTAATTAAGAACACTATTTATTATAAACTAGCCTTTTGGGTCCTTTGAATTCTTTATAGTGTAACACATAGCTAGAACATGTTTGAAGAACATGTTGAAAATTGAGCTCAGAGACAAGGAAAGACAGGAATACAGATATGAATACAAAAGTGGTTTCAGAGGCAAGATGAAAGAGCAGGGTACAACCCTTGGGAAAAAGTGGAAGGTGCTACAAAAATGAGAGGCAGGGATGCATAAATAGAGTTTTATAAGGAAAATAAGGATAAACCTTTTCCTACTCTACGTTACATAAGGCTGGTTATAAAAGAAACCAGCCCTACTTATAAAAGAGAAGTAATCTTAGACATAAATTTTATGGTATCATTAGCTAAAATAAATATTTAAGACAATAAAAAACTTTGATTTACATATTTTTATATATAATTAAATATTTATATTTAAGAACTAAAGTTTTCCCCCCAAAATAACCTTACAGACCTTTCAATTTTAACATCCGCTTATAGAAAATTTGAAAAATACTACAAAGTATATAGAAAGATTAAAATCATCTCTAATTCCTTCAGCCTGTAATACCATTGTTAACACTGGGGAGGGATGTTGACTTTTAGGTTTTATCTGAGTGTAAAAATATATATATAACAAAATTTGGATATTACATTGTTTCATATCTTCATTTTTATGTGATAGTATATCGTGATCATTTTTCCTTGCCACTTAATACTCTTCATGGTTTTAAGGTCATATGATGAAAACTAGTGGTTTCTTAGTGTTTGTTATTTTGGTGAATTCTTTTGATTTTAAACCTACTTCTACAGCAAACTAAGGAAAATTATTTGACACTCCCCTCATCTGAAAAGCATATACCCAGCACTGAATGCAGTCAAGATTTTTGCTCTGAATTAAAGAGTCTGAAAAATTTTCGTGATTTCTCTTATTCAAAACATTTAACTGGGAAAGTAAACAAATAACTGTTAAAACTGAAAAGGGTCCAAGTGTTGGATCTCTGTTTGAACCAATATTGCAAAAGGCAGATACATGTCACAGTACTTACACTGTGTGTGTAAAATACTGTTTGGCTTTTAACTACAAGTGACGTTCAGAAATTCTGGCCCCTTTAGGTCTAGGAGCCAAATTAGGCCCTTGGTTTAATATCACTCAGCTGGTCTTCGGACTTTTTTTTTTTTTTTTTTTTTTAAAGACACAGTGTCTATTTCCTGCCCCATCCTTCAAAGACATGAGAGAGAGATGCACACACACGTGTGTGTATGTAGAAATATTATTTGACAGAAGTATCCAGTGATGAGACTTGAGAGCTGTTCTTACTTCCATGGCATTATTTGGGAAAGAAGCAGGAATTAGTCCCTCTGATGACAAATTTAGCACTAGAAGGCAGAAACAGAACAAGCAGCAAAGTGAATATGGTGAGAAAGAAATGAGAAGCTTAGGGGAACATATGGAGATGTCCAATCTATCCAATACTGTACAAGGCACAGGCTGGGCAGATGTTAACTTAGGGGTGAAGGAGTCCTTAAGGAAGCAAGCTGGTCAAGAGATGAAAGGTTCATAAAAAGAATAGATGGACAGTAGATATTGGTTAGCCATAGAGGATAGAAGTCAAATGTGCTTTGGTATCCTAGGAAATTTGGTTTACTTAGGAAGAGCATATGTCTAAGGTTGAACAAGCAGGATTCAATTTTTACTGAGGACCTACTGTGGTTTATACACTTCATAAATGTTAGCTCATTTCCTTCTTCACAACATAAGTGCTATTTATTTTTCTTGTGCAGATGAGGATACTGGAAAATCTGAGTGATTAAGAAACTACTTCAAGGGTACACAGCTAGTAAATGGTAAAAACAAGATGCACAGATAAGTCTTTCTGCAAAAATTATATGCCTTTTCTACAACACCAAGCTGAATTGAACTTCAAAACTTAGTCTAATACTTTTAACATTATAATTTCATAAAGCAATCTACTTTGAGCTAACACAAAAGAAAGATACATTACATGAAACGAACAGTACAAGGGTGGGAAGACATTTAGAACAGCAATATCATTGAAAAAATTTAAACATAATTATAAATTATTTTCAGTAAAATAACAGTGTCTAAAATTTCAAAGCATTTCTAGAAACAATCTAAAGAGTGCTCTTTTGGTCTAATGAGAAAGTTTTCATTATTTTCCCCTCCAAAGTGATTTGGTATCAATCAATCATTAGAGTAATTCATAAAACAGAGCCTTTCTTCCTCCTCAAAAATAACCAGTGTGTTTTAAATTTCAAAGTAATTTTGATAGAAAGTATGAATTAAGTGAACTTAAAAGTTCCAGAGTTATTTTACTTTTAAGCAGCAACAAGCCCTTATAAGGGCAGAAATAGTACACAGTACATTATACAGATGTATTTTCTATTAGCATATTCAAAGGGTCAACTACAAGCGTAACAGATGATGTTTCATTTTAGTTACATTTTTGAGAGAGTTCGTTTTGTTTAAGATTTATTATTCAAAGCCAACACAGAATTTTTTATTTTACTTTTTAAAAATGTTTAAATGGTGAAAACCCTACTTTAGGGTAATATAATCAAGATACATATAATAAGAAAAATACTAATAAATAAAAGCTATACTACTGGTTTCCCAAAACGCAATGTTTTTGAACATCAGTGGAAACTGTGGATGCTTATTATGAAATCTTAAGAGTTCCGAATTTTGATTATGAAAATTAACCACATTTGATCATCTTTTCAATGACTTTCAGGTGATACACGCTTTATGCTTTAGGGAAGCAAGAAAATGTTAGGTCATGTAATTCAATTTTACTTAACGCATAATAAAATCTGGATTTAGAAAACAGAATATGGTTTTATTTGTAGTATTGAAGGTTAGCTGTCTTTACAATAAAACTGACTTAAACATTCAAGTATCTGCACATCCTAGTTCCTTTAAATTAAGAATACTCAAGAGTTACCCGGTGGCTCACGCCTGTAATCCCAGCACTTTGGGAGGCCGAGGCGGGCGGATCACTTGAGGTCAGGAGTTTAAGACCAGCCTGGACAACATGGTGAAATCCTGTCTCTATTAAAAACGCAAAAAATTAGTCGGGCGTGGTGTCGCGCACCTGTAATACCAGCTACTCGGAAGGCTGAGATAGGAGAATTGCTTGAACCTGGGAGCCGGAGGTTGCAGCCAGCTGATATGGCGCCACTGCACTCCAGGCTGGGCAACAGAGCGCGGCTCTGTCAAAGCAAGCAAGCAAGCAAGCAAAGGAAAGAAATAGTACAGGATAGGACAGGACAAGAAAATAAAGAAATTTACTCTCTTATATAAATCCACCTCATACTAGCAACTTAGGAACACCTGCAATCGACGTAATCAAACTTTCCAATAACGAGAACATCCTGCGCATCCACAGATATTTTCAGGAATTGAGGCACAACGGCACAACATAAACCAAAAAGTCCACAAGGTGCATTGTCCGTCACACATAAATCGTAAATTCAGTTCAAATATTCATTCCCAATATTTCAACAACAACGATTTTTTTAATAAGAAAGTCATTCGTCAAAAAAGAGGCTGGCGCCTCCAAAACAAAGCTCCATCTAACTCCTGAGTCAAATAATGATATGAAGTACCCGAGACGGACCAATTTTTTTTTTTTTTTTTTTTTTTTGTCAATATTTAATCTGAGGCTTTGGAAGTGGAAGAAATCTTAAAATAGCCACTTAGTCTTGTTTCCAGCCTTCAGGCAGCTGAAATGTAATCCCCAGGAACACAGACCCTCCCTGCAGGGAAACGTGTATGTGTGTATGTTTGTGTTTACAGGCCTATAGCAGTCAGAGATAGGACCACTGCCGTTTTAGTATATTTTTTAAAAAAAAATTCTACTAGAGAGGAAAGAATGACACAATTTTCTTCGTCACAGGAAGGTGGGCCTGGGGGATCCCAGCCACCTTCGCAGACGCTAAGTTATGGAAAGCAGCCAAAACTCTGTATCAGGACGAGGCGTCCCCATGGGTTCTATGGAAACGAGAGACGCGGGGGGCCTAGTGCCTTCCAGGCTGCGGGCCGAGCTGCAGAGCTGCGCAAGCAGGAGCGGGGGAAGCGGCTCAGCCCAGTACCGCAGACAGGCGCTCGCTGGCGGTCCCCGCAGCGGCACGGGCGAGGCGTCGCGGGGTCTGCAGCCGCGCAGCCCACTAATTCCGGCGCCGAGAGCGAAGTCGGGAGAACTGCGGCTAGAAAGCGCAAGAGCCGCCGGACACCGCCGCCGCTCACCCCAGCCGCTCCCTTCCTAGCCTCGCAGCCGGTAGACAGAAACTTCGGAGGTACAGCCCGGGGAGGAAACATCCCCATAGAGACAGAATACATTGTGTCTTCCTAGCTGAGCCCCTTTACCTTCCCGGCCGAAGTGTCTGGGATGCTTCCTTCGGTGGCGGCGGCGGCAGCGGCGACGACTGCCGCTGCAGCACTCAACTGCTTCACTAATCCGGGCTCTGGGAAATAATTTCCCGCCGCGCGCTAGGCAGCCCCGGAAGCGATAGTAACATTTCCGGGTGGTTGTCAGTGACGCTCTGGAGCCGTCGCCAGGGTGGTAATATCTGGTGCAGAGCTTGAGTCTGGCTAGCGAGTCAGGCTCCTGCTAGATCAGCACCGGAGGTGGAAGACTGGTAAGTGATTTTACTGGGTTTTCTGCTGGGTCTGATATTAATGGCTGGCCGGGGCTCTGTGCAGCATTTTGGCCAGCCAGAGAAGTGAGTGGGAGAGGGTTGAATCAGAAGGAGTCCCCATCCAACCCCGTGTCGCTTGACACCCCGTGCAGCTGGAGAAGGCCCTGGGATCCCGGCTTACCGTCTCATCCACTCGCAAAATCTGTCTCCTACTTGGAACTCGACCTCGGGTCACCAAGTGTCCCTGGGCGAGGCCGAAGACACCGTGTACCGTGACTCGGCGTTGTGCCGAGTTTCTCTGCCCATGATCAACGAGTGTCCTATCTCCCATTAGCAGCGTTTGGCCACTCTCGATTCCTGAGTACTGTTTCCGTAGTTCTGGGGTGCCGTGCCTGGAAGGCAGGAAGTTGGCTGAAGAAGACATCTTTTACAAACATTTGGGAAGTGAGATGGGGAGGTTCCTTCCTGACTTAGAATTAATTGAAGGTTCCTCCCGCCATTTGAATTGGGTGAGAACGGTCTTTGTTTTCCTGGCTGAGACGTGAGAGAACAAGCCTGTAATTTCATGCTTGGGCATTAGATGCATTTTTGGAAAACAGTGATCTGTAAGTAGGTGTACTTTCAGAAAGGAATGCTTGCGCTCTGCCCCAGGCTTTGTCGATAATGGATTCAGGAGAATTGTGGATGGAGGTCTGAGGTAGCCAGAATAGTTGTAAAGAGAAATCGCTTCCGACAAAGGGATAATGTGAGGAAAGGTGCTCATTTAAGATTTGAAAGATGTGATGTAGTGAACCTTGGCGACTTCTCTTAAGTAATGCAATTTCTTAGGTAAGTAGTTTTCACTTGCCACCTTGTGTTTAAATAATTACCTCCCCACCAACCCCCGGTAAAAGGCAACTGTTATTTTTTCAAAACAGTCAGTTCCCAAAAGAGTTGTAGGTACTATTGCATTTTTCTTTATGTATTGCATAAAAACATTTTCTTTATCGGAGCATACCCATAAAGAAAAATGCAGTATGTTCAATTCAAGGCCCCTGTTACACCAGGCCAGTGCCTTCTTACCTTTTGAGAATAATGCAGCCAAACCATATTTAGGATAGCACGTTGATTTTCTAACCCTGTTGGTTAATAATTCAACAAACTTATAATCTCCCCATTAATCCCAATTTTGACATTTTGTTGAATCTTATATTTTTTGTTTATGTCTCCAGTGGAAAGTATTATAAATTACTTTAGGGATACTGTATATTTTATCTATACAGCAACTAGTTTTTAGAGGCAGTGATTTATCTCTATTAATTGTTCTTGAATGTAGCCAATCATTAATACCCAGAGTAGATACTGTCTGCCAGGCACTTTACATTTATTATTTTATTTAATGCTTAATAAAATCACAAAAATTGTATTATTTCTATTTTGCAACACATTTTATACTGAGACTCAAAGAGGTTGTGATTTTCCATAAATTATACAATTAAATGGCACAATTAAAATTTGAATCCAGTCTACCTGACTCTAAATTTTGGCTCTAAACTGTGCTCTATACCTTTATAAGTAAATATAATAGTATCATTATTTTCACTCCCAGGTAAAAATGGATAGATAGTATGTCACATTCAGAAATCAAGTGGATAGCAAAACTTGAGGATAAAAGGGACTTCAGGGATGTGTTCATCACCATAAGGTGATTTTGGCATGTAAATAATGCAGTTTCTTTACTGCCTTTATCCTTGGCCAGTTTTATTATCCTAATTCAAACAAATGCCTATACTGTACATTGTCATAACACGTGGGGCAAATACAGAAGATCTGGAGACCATCAGCAAGCATATTGGTGACTCTGAGTCCACAGTATCAGCTAACTATCTCTTTAGGCAGCTTTTCACACACACATTTGTATACATGTATATTTATGTGTGTGTGTGTGTAGGGAGAGAAAATGAGTAAATGAGCACAAATTCATAAAATTGAACTCTGTAATGATTTATAAGGAATTATTAGCAAAACTGTGCTGTTCCACTCACACAACCCTCAAACAGATGGGGATTATCACATAGTTTCAGGGAATATGCTTAATTAAACCTGCCCATCCCAATACCCTATTCTATTTAGAGAAATAGAAATAGCCTAATTTTCAGAGAATTTATAAAAATTTAGTTGAAATGACCGATACTAGAAATGACATGGAACTTAATTCTAAAGAATATCCTGTTTTACAACTATATAGGTATAGCTAGCCTCAAATACTAATGTGTATTTGATTACATTGTATTGACTTGTAGGCAGATCTTTGCATTGACTTGTAGACAGATCCCATAGGCAGATCTCAGCGATATTTTGCTATCAAATTTCAGTGCTTATGAAGGTTGAGATTATGTCTGTTTTATTCATCATCTCATACCCAGCATCTAGCACTGCGCCTGGCATATAATAGAAGCTCAATAAATAAGTCAGGAACCATGACTCATGACTGTAATCCCAATACTTTGGGAGGCTAAGGCATGAGGATTTGAATCCAGGTCCTCTAAATTTTGGCTCTTTTTACTGTGTTCTATACTTCCTCTAATAAATAAACATAGCCTACAGTGAACTATGATCACACTACTGCACTCTAATCTGCACAACAGAGTAAGATCCTGTCTCTAAAAAATAAAAAATAAACATTTATTGAATGAATGATTCCTTTTTAAAATGTTATTTATCCACTGAGAAGTATTTGTACATTTTTTTAAAGGATTTACCACATAAATAAATATTTATTGTTACTCACCTTGACCCTGAAATACAGTGTCCACTCCACACTCATTCATAAAAGGCAATGTGCTGTTCTGTAAAGACGACTGGACTGTAAGACAGGAGATGAGAAAATATCTAATATTTTTTCTGTGTTTATTCTCTGCTATTCAGTGTTAAATTACTCCTTACAGCACAATAGGTAAGTATTATCCTCCTTTTACAGATACTAAAACTGAGGCAAATATAAGCTTTGCAAATTGTCGTAGGTTACACATAGTCATTAAACACAGCTATGATTTGGATGAAGGCCTGTGACCCCAAAAGTGATCATCTTAACCACTTTGCTATACAGCCTCCAGTTGAATTTTTAATCCTGGATCTGCTGCTAAATGTGTGCAAGAGCAAATTTATTTCTCTGTGTATCTTGTTTCTCATCTATAACATATAGGAGTTTGATGGATTAGATTATCTATAAGGTCCCTCCTACCTCAAAAATCCTCTGACTTTAGTTGACTCCCAAGTATTATCTGAATATAGCAGTTCTAGTGTGCCAGAAAACCCTCATCAATTTTGATGTGTTTCATATGAGCTTTTATATGTGTTCACGTCTTCCACAGTGGTGGACACAGAATCATGTTGTTGCAATAGGAAGAATAGAGTTAAAAAAATCACAGTCATGCCTTTTTTTTTTTTTTTTAACCAGCTATGACACTACTAAGTCACTGAACCTTTGTGAGCTTATGTTTTCATATGTAAAATGGATCCATAGGATTGCTGTGAGGGTTAAGTGGGTTGACATATAAAGCCTCAAACATGTCTGATACACAACTGCTATTAAATAAACATTGATTCTTTTTCTTGCTCAGTCTTGCAAGGATAAAAGATTAGTGGATATAAAAAGGCTTTATAAATTAGACAAAGGTGAAGAATTTTTTCACTTAGAGTCTACTAGGAGAGATAAAGTTATATACAAAAATAATTATATGTGGGGCAATTTACATACATCATTGAACACAAAGCATGATGGGAATGCAAAGAAAAGAGATTTTTTTTTTTTTTTACAGGAGGTCAGATGAGGAAAGACCTCATAAAAAAGGTAATATTGAGTTTGTGCCCTATAGGATGGTAAGGATTTTGGCAGGGGAACAAGAGGGAGAAGTGTTCTACTGGAAGATGCAAAGTGTCAGAAAACAGAAATAGTACCTAGGTCACTTTGGATATGTAAGATGGATGAAGGCTGGTAATAAAGCTAAGGTAAAAAGCTGAGCTTAGGACAAGCTGTAGATAACTGTGGGCAAGTTAAAGATGTTAGGCATTTAACAATAAGCAATCTGTGTGTATAACTAGGATGGGGTGGAGGATGGAGTTGGCATTTGTTTTCTTTGTTATGGAAAAATGCCCATTTGTTACAGAAATATTAGAGTGTTACAAATATGCCAAAAAGGAAAGAAAAAGGAAGAGAGGCCCATGATCCCATCACTCAGAAATAACTTATGATTTTTCTCTGTATTATTACAGATTTGCATATATGTGCTTTTAAAATAAAAATGAAATAATACTATCTATATTGTCTTGTGACCTGCTTTTTTCAATGTGCTACGCCGTGAATTTTCCCATGTCAGTAAATTTGCTTCTATAAAATATTTAGGGCCTGCATGCTATTCAATTTTATAAATATGTAAAAACTTTTAAACTGACTTCTTTCTGTTAAGTAATAGTACAATAAAGATTTTTATAGTAAAATATTTAGACATATTCATATCTATTTTCTTATTACAAATTGTAGAAGGAGAAATGGTGACCCACAGGTTATGAACACATATAATACTACATGTATTACCATATCAATCATATTTTTAATTTAAACTTGGTGCAAAATTCATGAGGTATGAAAGGGTATATAATGAGGCATTAGCCGCCCTCTCACCTTGTTGTCCTCCTGATTCACAGCTAGCCCTTATAGCACCTTGTGTGATTAGAAAAGGGCACCCCCTTCTGGAGGATCCGTAACTCTCGGATATATAGTGTGTAACTGATGGTACTTTTTTTTTCTGTACCTGTGCACAATGTGCAGGTTTGTTACATATGTATACATGTGCCACGTTGGTGTGCTATACCCATTAACTCATTTACATTAGGTATATCTCCTAATGCTATCCCTCCCTGCTCCCCCGACCCCACGACAGGCCCTGGTGTGTGATGTTCCCCATCCTGTGTCCAGGTGTTCTCATTGTTCAGTTCCCACCTATGAGTGAGAACAGGAG